TGGAATACTATTCGGCCATTAAAAATGACAACATAACGCCATTTGTAGCAACATGGATGTTCCTGGAGAATGTCATTCTAAGTGAAGTAAGCCAGAAAGAGAAAGAAAAATTTCCAGGATGTTGAAAAGATTAAATGAGATAATGCATGTGACAGCATCCAATAGAGGCTTTGTGATGATTTTCTGTGACGATTCCAGCTAAAAGTGAGCTCTCCTACCAAATTCCCAGAGTATGGTTATACCACTGCACTTTTGAGACACCTCTAATTATTAGTTATTTTTTTGTGTCTATCTGAACTCCCAGCTTAGGACCAGCAGATGTCCCTTTGTGGCTTCTTGATACCTGAGACAGAGCCTGACACATATTTGGTCATCCTGAGGGGAAGGGGAGAAGAGTGGTTAATGATCCTTGATGCCTCATAGTTGGCATTAGTAGTTTAAAGATTCTGCTGAATTTGGAGAATCACCTAACATTTGGATTGTTCCTCTGAGCTTTAGATAATAATGCAAGGGGAGTCTCCTCAGAATGACTTTCTTCTTTTACTTTTGTTGTTACCCAGTTTAAATCCAAGTACAGAGACTGAAAATATTCATGTTTAAATACTACCCACTTCATTTCACATTGCTCTTCACATACAATGGCCCATGAAACAATCTTAAAGATCAAACCAAAAAGAGAAAATTTTTGCAATACAACAGGCTGTCAGAATAAGAATCCACGCAGGAAGTTAAAAAGGTTAATGAAGAGTCAACCCAGTCTATAATCCTTCAGTTGAGCTTGCATTCTAAGACAGTGACTAGCACCATCACAAGAATACAAATCACAAGTGTGTGCCTTCAAAGAAATAACTGAGGCTGAGGGACTCATTTTGATAGGCCATTGCCATGGCCAAACTTGCTCTTATTCCCAAGCAAATGCAATTTCAGGAAACTTGTGAACCTCTATGAGCTTCTTCTTCCTCAAGAAGCTTCAGACTACTTTACGGAATCACTGCAGTAGTCAATAGTCCCCTGCCTCTTGATTTGGAGTAATTTATGGCCCCTAAATCAAGGACCTTCCACTGTGCAATAAGCTCTTTCCTAAATTATAACAAAAGTCATAACTAAGTTCACTCAGACTGAGCAATATGCAACCCAAAGCTCTCAGTGGCCCCTATGCATTATTTTAGAGAGGCTAGAACCCTGGCTTTTGGGCACCACATCCAACAACTCAGCACTCCCCAGTGTGGTCCACCCCCTTGTGCCAGGAATCCAGTGATGATACACAGTGGGAATTACTGCCCACTTGGATCAAACTCAGAGAGCATCCTGCTTCTCTGGTGAATGGACATAACTGCTGTACAAGAGGCTGAAAAATGACCAAAGGGAACCTTTTATTTTTTTTATTGAAGTATAGTTGATTTACAATATTACATTAGTTTCAGGTGTACAACAATGTGATTCAGTATTTTTACAGATTATACTCCATTAAAAATTATGACAAGATAATGGCTACAATTCCCTGTACGACATAGTTGTTTGTATCTCTTAATCCCATACCCTGAATTTGACCCTCTGTGACCCCTTTCACCTTTGATAACCAAAGGGAACCTTTTAAAATATACATGTATTTAATTACGATACAAGCTCATTCTGAGTTGTAATTGCTTCACGTAGAAAAAACCCAAGGCTTTCTTCCCAATAGAGAACTCAGACTATGAAGGTGACTGGAACTAAGGATAGGAACGGGCTGGCAAGATTCTCAGGACACATTAGGATGTAACTACTTATTCGTTTTTTTTTCCAGGAAAAGCCCCAGCAACAGGGAAGGAACCCCCTCCTTGCCCCCTTTCCAGTAAATTCTCCTCATAGCACATTGTACCTCTCCAGAGACATTTAGAGACTGCCATTCATTTAATTGCTTGAGAAGTTCGAACCAAACAAGAGTCGCTGGAGCTCGACCCTGTTTGTTGGCTGTCTGCAGATTTACAATCTAGCAGTGTGTGGATCTTCCGAGCCAAAGTGTTAGAAATCTAAGGGGCTCATTCCACCTCTCAAAATACAATGGGCAAGAATGGAAAAGCTTCAGAGTCCCCAGAAGGCATCAAACCCAATTATGTTGCAACACGTGTGCAGCCCTTTAAGCTGCTCATTAACATTTGGAAAATTCTTCTGGTAAATGTCTTCATATCCAATTTAGCCTTCTTTTCCCTTCTCTCCACCACCCTCATTTCATAGACGGGCCACAGTAATGAGCCACATAAACGTAACTCTTTAAACGAAGAATGTCATCACTTAGGAATACAAGAGAGCGGTACATGTTGTGTATGTCTACAAACTGCAGTTGCTGTCTGTTAGACTTTGTAGCAACTTTTAAATCTGTCAACACAGCATGAATTTCATACTAAGCTCCTTCCCAGTGCTCGAGCCAGGAAGCAAAGGGGGAACAGGCTGTATCATTTATGGGCAGGCTGGTATTGGGTCAAGTGTGACATCACACTCTGCTCCCACCATAATGAGGTGAAAGGCTAGGCTGCGACAACGTGGTACTTTGTTTATTGGGAAAATTTAAGTGGGGCTGTATTTCAATTTGTGATAAAACTGAAATAAAGGATATGGATTACAGATTTTTAACAGCTCCAAACAAGAGGAGAGTGAAAAAGAGAGGAGCCATCTAGGAACTTAGTGAAAAATGCCAAAAGTCAAAGGATCAAAGTAGGCTCCAAGCAGGCTGGTCCCTTGGCATTTGTACTGGGCCCATTGTCTCAATTAAAACATTAGCACATCAGTCAAGTGTCTAATTTTATTTCTTTCCCATGATTAATATTTAAGCAGGGAGGAGAAACCAGACCTAAAATGTGTGTCTGTGTGTGTGTATTTAAAAATATGCTTACCAGTGGGGAAGAAGGGGAGGGATAAATTAGGAGTTTAGGATTTGTGGATACTAACTACTATATATAAAATAGATAAACAAGATCCTACTGTACAGCACAGGGAACTACATTCAATATCCTATAATAACCTATGCTGATAAAGAACATATGGAAAATACTATATATATGTATTACTGAATCAATATGCTATACACCAGAAACTAACATAACACTGTAAATCAACTATACTTCAAAAAAATAAGTAAATAAGTCCTCTGTTTAATACTTTAGCAGGCCTCTATCTTGATCAAAATTTTATATTCAAATGTATAACCTCATATATGTTCTCTAAAGTCTTCTTTTTTGGTTCATACTGATATTGGGTACCATGATCAATCACTATTTCTCCATATAATTACCTACAACATTTAAATTTATGAATAGCCCACTGAATACAACATTGTGTAGTAAGATATATTTGGCAAATGAGAGAGAGGAAAAACTTTCAAGACATAACTTTATTTAGAATTAGGAAAATTTTATTTAGAATTGCAGCTAAATACATTATGGTGTATTTATCACACCTTGAGGCCGCATCCTCAAGGCGTGCCCAGTGTTTGGGGAATGACTGTGTCAACAGCTGACTGTAAGGCAAGGCAGAGTAAAATGAGGACCTGAGTAATACAGGTGCTAATGGCAACCCAGAAGAAAAAGCCATTAAATCCACCTAAAATTGTTTTATCTTCTGCTGAAACAACTCCTACTCCCAAACTTGTCCTGTATATCAATAAAGCAAAAGGCTTGAGACATTCCTGTTGGGATGGGACTTAAGTCCCCTCTCAAGTGAGAAGAACAGAAAGACCCATCAAATTCTCTGGAGGAGGTTATTTTTCAAATTGCTCTAAATAGTTCTTCTACTTCATGTGAGTGAGACATTTATTCTAAGAGAAAACATCCATTGTAGGACTAAAAATCTACCATTACTCTTCTGTTCTTAATTTTCTCAGCTCTAATCAGATACAACCTAATAGAACTGGGCCTAAATTTTACCAGTTCTTCCTCTTGACTTTTTTCAAATGCTGGTTGCTTCCCACTTTTAGGAGTTCCGAAGTTAATTGGACTCACGCTTTTTCCCTAATCATGAGCCTATTAGAAACTTTGCCTATATCCACGGTGACCATACAGTCCTTCATCAGCTATAAGTTAACACCTTCTTAGCTGTTTCCACTTTCTGCAGATGCTCTGCTACCTACAGATGCTTAGCTAGGGGAACAGACTACCCATTTTCATGCCCCATCAACAAGGTAGTTAGACTGCTTGAAACTTCAAATAATCAGAATAATAAAATGATTAAGAACATGATATCTAGGATTAAAAAAACTGATTTCTAATTTCAATTCTATTATATTTATCTGTGTTACCTTGGACAAGTTATCTACCCCTCTAACCTTAATTTACTCATCCATAAAATGGGAAGAATAATAACATCTACAATAAAGCTGCTGTAAAGATTAAATGACATGTACTAAGTGCAACACCAGCACATGGTAGATGGTCAATAAGTTAGTTGTTGATGAAATAATAATTATGTAATGATAAGAAGATGGTAATAACAGTTATATTATACAATAACCATATATTATATCATAATCATTCTTGGTAGGAACTCATTGTCTAATGTTGTCCAAAACCACCGTCCTTTCTCCAGTTAATTCTAAGACCCTAGTATTTTCAGTCTTTCTACCTGTAAGGAAACAAAAACAGTGAGAAAGAGAAAGACAATGGAAACAAAATGTAGAGACAGCCAATCAGTCAGCAAAGTGCCCACCCCATGAGCATACAATCAGCACCAGCTGTAGTCCAATTAAACTTAATCTAGTCACATGCTCATGTGCTCCTCAGAAATTAGAGGAAATCAATTCAAATGCTAATGAGAAAGTCCATAATTTATTATCTGCTGAGGAATGCATGTTACATTAATTTTAACTGTAAACAATTATTTTTATTGCAAGATTAATTACCCTATCTTATACAACTTCCTTTTTTCATATTCTTTTAAGGAATTAGTTTTCAGTTGCTGTTTTGTGGTTCTGTCACAGTTCTTTAGCTTGAGAAAAGTATAATTAATTTAGGGATGCTGCAAATGTTGTTTTCTATTCTTCTGCCAAAAGAAAGTGGGATAAATGGCTAGGTTAAGCATGGAGAAAAATAGCTGCGGCTTCTGGCCAGGATGAAAAGACATTAAAACTCAGAATGGAAGTAGGGGGAACCAAACAGAATTTAAAACATGAGTTAATGTTGGTCACTTCTGACCACAGCATTTCCCAAAGGCTTCAACATACAAGTATAGACTTCAAATTATTCCTAAGTCCTGGAAAATGTATGAGCTAAAGTTTTCATAGCAAGAAAGAGACTAATCATTTTTTCTTAAAACAGCATCAAGGCTGCGACTACTCTGTACATGCTGGGTGGGGTGCATGGGCTTTTTGGTTTTGGTTTTCTTTTTTTTAGTAATCTGAAAGGAATGAAATTCGTGCTGTCAGAATTCTGCTCCCTTGACAAACCTGCCCTCACTCTTACTTGGCTTTCAAGGTGAATGAATGTTCAATACAGTGGCTTGTGGGAAATTACTTTTAAACCAATCACTTTTCAATGTGGAGAATAGGACTTTAGACAGTGGCTAGTGCTCATAGGGTTGAAAGTGAATATTCTACTGTTTCTGACAAATCATTTATTTACTTGATTCTTATGTTTTCTAAAAGTTAAAGAAGCTCACTTCTTCTATAAGCACAAGTAGATTTACCATTTTAGAGGTAAATATTTATGAAATACCAAAATCTATTAGTTTACTTCATTGGGTCTTTCTTAATTTAAACTTTCAGTGAAAGCAACTGCAACTCATCAATTAAAATTAAACTAGTCTAAATTAAATCAATAGGCCCAGTTGTTGATTTCAGTGGGAATTTGGTTAGAAAATGGATAAGGAATTGAGCCCAGAGAAGATTCAACTGTTAATTACTTGTAAAAGTTTTGGCTTAAAGGATAATAAGCATTTGACCTAGGAGTGGAACAGAGGAAGAGGTACTGTTCATGAAGACCCTGGGCCACAACCCTAAGTCAGGTTCAGCTGTGGCTTCTTGTCAAGGGCACAGAAACCCAGTTATTCCTAATGTGCTTCAGTCTGACCCTGTCTGAGAACTATGGCCAGGAAGGCCATCAGGCACACACAGCAATCAGCCGTGCTGGAGCAGACAGGATGAAAAATCATCTTTCCCATGAGCAATAAGCTCTCAGCACTCTACACTGTAAATTCAAACCAAAAAGTGTGGGGGGTGCCCTTTTTACATGATTTCATGATTTCTATTGAATATTTTCAGAAGTCCCTACCCGGAGAGCATATGCTACTTATCAGAATCACATAGAGTGGCTACAAAAACCAGGAAGTGGTTAGAAGGGACAGGCTGTGATGCTACAGGTGACACCTGGTTTTAATTTGATTGTCAGATGTCAGAGGGCGGGCTTATAAGACCAAACCTCACTGCTACTCCAAATCTATAGGGAATTATTGCTGATTTATTTTAGCAAAGAATGTTTCATGCTCTTGATTTCCATTCCAATTTCTCTGCTTAATAAAATAAGATGTCACATGTCAACCTGCATTGTAGTGAATTATTTCAACAACCCAAAGCCATTCAAATCCACTTGAAAACTTGCCACAAAGCCAAGATCTGTCACAAAGCATTAGGATTAGTTACCCCTGGAAAATTTTCCTGTATGACAAGCTGATAGGTGGCACACAAGAAGAAAACCTTGAAGGATTTCCAAGCTTTTCACACCTAAGAACTCTGGGTTCAATACACATTATGGTTCTATGGTTCCTTGAATTACTCAGTGGCTTGATTTAAATTCCTCTGTTCTTTTGACTAGACCAAAACAATCTTATTATAGGCCAAATTTGTGACAGACTTTCCAAGCTTGTAGACCTGTGTGTCAAGTTCCACAAAAATACATGGGAAAGGACCACCTTTAATTTCAGAGATTTCATATAAGAGAAATTTGCATTCCATTAAAGCCTCTGATTGATGAAGAACAGGACATCCAAGCAAGATGGCCACAAGTCTGCATTTTGAACGTTTGTCTTGCTCTGGGCCTGTTTCTTTGCAGTGGGGAGCAAGGGGCACATTCAAGTGAACTCTACTTCTAAGTGGCAAGTGGGAGCATCTCCAACTCTGATCAAATACAGATGTATTTCACACATCCCGAACCAATGTGGTTAAAGAAGAGACTACTTTGGGGAGAGTCTATGGATCGTAAAAGTGATGAATGAACTTAAGGAACCCCATCTGTTAGTGCTTATGCATTCTAGATTTAATGGTACAGCTTCAATGGTTTACCCCAAAACATTCTTCAAGAGAGATTCTTTTTTTATGGCAAATATGTGTGGAATGTCCTGCAGAACCACAGGATTTCATCTTCCCAATGTTTATGTGTATGGGAACCTACAGAAACACAGAGATACTGCAGGAAGCCTCCTACTTAAACTGGTTCTTTGACTACTGGGAAGCTGTAAGCCCTAAACATCACAGCAGAAAATATTCTCTTTCAAGGTTTCCAAGATTGGAGAAATTCAGTCTTTAAAAAAAACAATGATTTGGATCTGATACAAGAAAGCAGCCTTAGATCTTCAGCTCTTTTGAGATTCACCAATCTTTGCTCATACTGGGGTCATTCAAGTGTTCTCATAGAGCAGTGCTCTGGCAGCAGTACATGCCTCTGCTGGCCCCCTCCATCTTTGGATGAGCTGCTGGACTTCCACCTCCAGGCCCAGCTCCATCAAGGTTCTAAATGGACTCCCAAATGTCAATGGATAGAATTTAGGATGTCTGGGAGCTTCAGTGGGAGAAAAGTTATTTTCACTAAATTCTAGATTTGGTATTCCTTGCATTGTCAATGTAGATAATAAGCCAGAACAAAATTAGCACACATGGGACTTACAGAAATTATATATATATATTCTTTTTTCATATCACTATTATTGTTGATGCCACTATCTCAAAATACCATTTACACTCATCACTACTTCAGAATCCTGGTGGTTATCAGACACATTGCTATATTTTATTTTTAATCTATTAATAAAGCAAATATATTACTAATCACAATTTTAGAATATTTTTATAACTGTATTTCAATATAATTGGCTTTTCTTATACTTGTAGATATTTTATCTTATGTACTAAAAACATTTTTCTGAGAAAGGATTTATTGGCTTCATCAGACTTCCAAAGGAGTTCATGGCACACACACAAAAAAGATGAACTCTGACCCTAGAATGACTCTAGAGTTCTTATCTGGCCATTACCACATAACCCAGTTCCAAAAAAATTATTTCTATCTGGTCCTAACAAGTACTGCAGTTCTAGTAGCCCAATCCTTCTATTTTTCCTGCTTGAACCTCTATCTTAGAAACTTGGTTCATTCTCTGTTCCTTCCAGGATTGGGCCCTCTGATTTGCTCATTCATTCATTCATTCATTCATTCCATAAGTATCTACTGAGTGTCAGTTATATGTCAGATACTGTACAATGTGGTGGAGACATAGTGCAGAACAAGAAAGACAAGTTCTCTGTTCCAATAGAGCTTAGATTCTTGTGGGAGAATGGATGGATGGATGGATAGAGAGAGAAGAGAGAGAAGCAGTTAGGTAGGGAACTATGTAGAAAATTAGAATAAGTTAATGTCACAGAAAATAGCTGGCCATGTTAGCATGACCTTTCTGAGATATGAATGGTAGGAGCAGCCATTTGACGTTCAGAGAGGAAAATCATTGGAGTATCTGAGTGATCAGAGAAGGCGAGGGTAGTTGGAACATAGCTCTGAGGCAGAGAGCAGTCATAGATGAGGCCAGAGTGGAAAGAAGGGATTATTTCATGAAGGGTGTCCTAAGTCAGGGTAAGAACTTTGGATTTTACAAAAGTGTTGGGCAACCATTCAAGGGTTTTAAGCAGGAGATTGTCACGATCTGATATATGTTTTTAAAAAGATTGTTTTGGCTGCTATGCAGTGAACAGGCTGTTGAAACACAAAAGTGAAATCAGGGAGTGAATTAGGAAGCTAGTGCTGTAACCTTACAGGACTAGATGGTAGTAGAAGAGATGGAGAGTGATGAACTTAGGATATGTATCAGGCTGGGTGGCAGCAGGAGGCAGTGCCAAATTCAAGATAATTTGAGGGAAGTTTAAAAAGTGACAATTTACAAATGTGTGGGTTGAAGATAAGGAAACTAAAAGGGATAGCACAGTAGCCTGAAGCTGTTAACCTGAGGCCCAAAGGGAATGGGAAGTGAGGTTACTGGAACCCCGCAGGAGGAAGAGTGCAAAGACGGCAGCCTCTAGAGGAGCTCTGACCCATGGGCAGGGGGCACAGACAGCCCTTGGCTACGTTACCACTACGGAAGGCCACTGTTGGGAATAAACATGCTGACCGCCCCCCTTCCCTCTCTCCAGCCTCCTATGAGGACTCACTGTTGGCCAGAGGGAAAGCAAGTCCAATGATGAGTCCATACAGAGTGAAGAAAGATGAGTGATTCTGGAGGGGCAAACTAGATATGAAGCACAGGACGTGTTTGGAGCTACTGTGGAGAAAGCTACTGGATTGTTCTTGCTAACCTCTCCACAGAGTATTGCCAATGAATCCTAAGCTTCCTGCCTGCCTCTCTGCTCAGAGTGCCAGGTTATCAACACC